CATCCATAAAGGAAGCTACGAATGCAAAGTTTTAGCTGGTCAAGTGTGGTAGGTAAAAGTGTGAGTCTGTTTTATGTCATGTTTCAAGTGTGTAGATGAGAACAGACAGAAAAATACTGGTCAAATAAAGACAAGCTTTGATGCGCTACTGTTATACTATTTATGATTTAAGTATTTAAAGAAAAGCACTGTCTTGGAGATATTAGTTACGTGGTTACAATAAAGCCATTGCTTATTTTAGCTTTTATTTTATGGCTTAGATTGTGTTTACATTTTAAAAAACTTTTTGTTTTATGTATAAGCTGGTATAATGGGGTGACTACATCAGGAGTCACTGGAACTGTTATAATCAGTTAAGCAGGAGTGTAAGATCTCTCCAGAAACCTAAGGAAAAGTGATTCAGAATGAGACTGAGAGTTGAACATGGCAGGGTATGAATGCTCACTGGTTTGGAGAGAGTGGGGGAAGAGATGTGTTTAAAGTAGACCCTCATGCGAGATTCATGGTAGGCGATGAAGTTCTGTAGCTGTGGGTTCTCAACTGGCTGGGAAATAAGGGTTGAATACAAATTTAGAGACATGAAGAGTACATAACAGAACTGAAATATTCTGCTACAGACTGAAGGACTATGAGAAAACAAAACGGTGGCAGATCACACCACTACTCCAGTTGGAACTTCTAATAAGTTCAGGTACACAGTGCAGGGAATACGGTTCCCGTTTAGCAAAATGTGCCATTCTGGAACAAAATGAGGACTTTAGTCACTCTCAGATGTGGAATATTCTACAATTCCACAGTTCTGGCAGCAGCGGGTAAATACCTTTTCTACCTCATACCACCAAATTGTGAGTCATAAACTCCTCAACAAACAAAAAGCAAAGAAATAATTCCTATCCCATTACTTTGCTGTCCTTCAAGGCTTCCACATGACGTTCATAGAACCCCACAGCATCTCTTCCTGCAGAAGAGAGTAAACTGGACCATCTAGTGTTGAAACAGAAGCAGCAGAGGAAGCATGAATAATCCACGTGACTCAACATCAGAAGGCTAAATGCTTCTCAGCCCCAAGAAGAGTCGAAGGGTGACCACGCTGCCTCTGATGCTTCAATTAAACAAGAGCAACATCAAAAAAAAAGGTAAAATAAACATGAATGAATTGTGTTTTGAAAAGACACGGGTAAAGTGAAATGTGTTTCCTTGTGGAAACTATAGTCCTTAAAAGTGAGCTGCAGAATGATGATGCTGAATAACAGAAAACTTGCAGACGTTCGGTTGAAGCATCGCAGACAGGGTTAAGGAAAAGTCTTGGCCAAAGACAAATAGGGTTAGTTTCAGCTGACTACATGTCCAGTCCCCAGTGACTAATCTCTCATGTATGTTTATGTAACTCTTGGGTGGGTAACAACATAGTTAAACCAGAACTCTTTTAAAATAACAAGGGTAAACTACAAGAAACTTAATTGTTCTTCGCGTTTGACAAGTACTTCCCTGTTCTCATTGGCCAAATGCTTCAAAATAAACTGATTTATTTATTCTAAATGATAAAATCAGTAAGGTCAATGTGAGACATAGGTAGGTAATTTTTCTTAAAGGAAAAAATTACTGCTATTAAATAGAAGAATGGAATGCATAAATAAAAAAGAGGAATGGACAATATCGATTGTGATGATAAAAGAAGTAACAGAGAAAATATTTTGAGAGGAAAAAAGTGCAAAAGATTTGATGAGCTGTTCATCATCGTATAAACATGTTTCAAAGGAATGAGCAAAGAAAAAAAATCAAGTTTTTCCTTTTAAATAAACTATGTGAGTCCTCAATTTCTATCAGTCAAACTGACAACATAATCAAAAGTTGAGTGAAGCTTGTAAGCAAAGAGATACTTATTAAATCTAACATTATTTAAAGAATATAATCTGATGAAATAGGTTTCATTACAAAGGGGTACATGGTAAAAATATTTTGGTAAATAACATTTTCCAATTTAAAATGTAGTAATGAACTGTGGGATAGACTAGGTTTAAGAAAACGGTAGTCATAAATTGAATGAAGTATAAATGCCAGGCATTGTGGCAGATATGAATCTCAAATCCATCTTGAGATTCATGAGACATCATGTCAAAAACATAAATAAAATGAATTAGATATCATGAAAAATCACGTTTGAGAACAACGTTATGCTACATTTTAGGGAACACTAACACCAGAAGTAAACTGAGGAATTGCGGATTGTGAACGTAGCAAACAGATCTTAAAGCCAAAGCAGAGTTTAGTATTAGAAAAATGACAGAGACCACTGAACAGCAGGTGCTGACTTATTCTCCTGGCTACGATTTGTAATACCCTACAGACAATGGAAACCCAAGTTTCTTATATATGCTAGCGTGCTTCATTAAAAATTAGTGAGATAATTTACATCTGAGAAGCCTGACTCCAGACACCCGTATATCTGTTTTTAAGTTTTGGATTCTATAATGGTCAGGGATTTATTCTGACATGTTTTTGGTATCTGCTTGTGTGATATTTTCAGACTTCTTTTCTATAGTTAGTTTAGTTCTCTGCTCCAGTATTCCTGAATTCTCTGGCTCTTAGAAATTGTAAAAGTTGGCACTGTCCTTGGGAAACCTAGTTGAAAAATCTTACGGTTTTTTAAAATTTTTTTTTGTTCTTATTTCCAGTGTTGCTGCTGTGCTGACTCATAGTAGAGAGTTGGAAACATGTTTCAGTTGAGTTAATACCTAGGCAGCTATGGAACTCAATTGGAAATAGTTGTCCTGGTGGTAATCGTTAAGTTTCATGGGCTTTTAGCTTGGGTCAAACAAGTGATAAATGTGATAAATAGTTTAATAAATAAAATGACACTAATTAATGAGAATAATTTCACCATGCCCATTAAAAGACAAAATAATGAAGGAGATGATTACAGCCATGCCTAAAGCTAAATGCTGTCAATGCAGCAGGCAACATAAAACAGAGAGTTCTAGGTGGAGTTTCAGAAGTGTGGAACCTTGAATACTGAGTAGTCTGCAGCACACAGCAGTGTTCTGGGACCACGGTACTGGGGAAGCAGCAGCTGATTAGCTATGGCCTTATTCACGGTCACATTTGAATACATCTAACAAAAATTACTGGTGTACAAATCACTGCCTGGCATCATTTGAAAAAGTGTTTCTTTGTGGAATGTAGCATTAGTGGAAGAATACATAGATTTCAAACACCATTTTCATTCAAAAGCATGCTGGGCAACAAGCACTGATGTTGGAGGTAAATGTCCGTCCCATGTAGTAAATCCACAGAGATAGACCAATGGAACTCTGAAAACTTTGTCTTCCAGCTTAGCCCAGTCTAGTGATTTTATACTTTGGAAGTCTCCTTCGGCGTGACTTACTCTTGTGCCTTTTATAAATTTTAGTGTTTCAAGTCTTAGTCCACTCTTTTATCCACCAGGAGCAGCGCGGTTCTCCAGTGAGCATACCTACTTCCAGCCTCTATTTAGTCTTGCCCATCATTCATTTATTTTAATGCATGTCTCGACAACTACAGTTCTAACAACACCGCGTTGTTCTTCAATATGTTTTGCAAGCCGCATGGTTTTTTAAAATTAATTTGTGAACTGTCATCCTTTCATCTGAATTGTTTTCAAATTACGCATGTCATGTCAAGTGTTTGAACCTCGATATTTGAGGTTCCCCTCTGTTAAACCACTTGTCTAGGCAGTATGCTTGTTTATTAATTTTTATGCTTAGAATCAATACAATTTTCAAAACCTGCATTCAGCACTTTCAAGGGCTAAGATGTAAATTGACTTGTAGGACAATGGCATGGTTTAAAAAATAATAGAATGGTGCCACAGTTTTTATTCTGAGTCTTCCCTGTGATATTGTTTCTCTGGAAGTCCCTGCATTCAGACCTTCAGACAATGGATGCTAGCAAAATGATGGGAACTTCCAAGTCACTTCATTTCAGCGACCACATTTTACTGACAGTCAGATAATTTCTCCCTCAGGCACTGACATCTTACCATGACTGCCACCTTTCAGCATTTTCAATTATCACTTTTACTGATTGACACCTTTGAACATTTGTCAACGTGTGTTCAGTTTTTTTTCTGGATGACATAAGCACATTTTGAAGCAGTCAGGCAAGTCAATAAGGTGGACTGTTCAGAGGCATCATTCTGGCATCAACAATGAGACAAGCTGGCCAGAAAAAAAAAAGGCAGTGTGCCGGGATCTTATATTTAGTAATTGCATGATGCAACCATCCGGTTAGAAATCCATGCTCGTTTTAGCGAAGGAGTTGACAAGTGAAATCGAATGGTAGTTCAGTATTTGTGACTGGTCATGTGTGTAAATCACAACAATATACATGCGTATTCACATATTACACATAATGTGCTGTTCTTATGTGAGGGTGTGTGTTCATACGTGTGTGTGTTGAATTGCCGTGTGTGTGTGCATGTATGTGTGCATGTGTGTGTGGCAGGCAGAGTGAGATTTTTGCCATTACGAAGCATCTGACTCATGAATTTCCATAACTGATGTTAACACGGAGGTCTGGTAGACCGTTTAAAAATGACTAAGGTTACTAATGTAATTGAGAGAAAAATCAGAGTTAGAGTCATCCCTGCTATACCCCAGTATTGTTGTGGAATATTTGTTTAAACTGTAAAGATGTATCTTTGCCAAGGAACCTTTGGATTGGTTTAATAATGAACTGAATGGCCAATATGTTATTATTCAGGCATTTGTACTGCCCTGTCCTTGGCGTTCTGACAGGATATACCCTCGGCTGCAGCCACTAAGAGCACCACCTATGTGTAAAGGGAAAACTTTTCCTCGAGAGAAGCCCTCCCACCAGCCTGGTTCCAGAGCCGCATCAGTCCCAAATAAACACACAGGAGGCTATATTAATTATGAAGCTGTTGGCCTTGCTTGTTTCTTACTGGCTAGCTCTGACTTAAGTACGTATCCCATAATTGCTAATCTAAGTATTTCTCTTACCAGAGAGGTTTCCGGGCTTCCTACATCTTGACTCTCTGTGTTTCTCCTTCCCAGAGTCCTTCTGGACTCCTAGTCCCACCTATCTTGGTTCCCTATTGGCCAATAGTGCTTTATTGACATACACACAGGACTTCCCCATCAGCTGTGCACATCCACTTTTAAAAGGGCCCTGCCTACCTCTCCTATCCTCTCTCTCTGTCTCTCTCTGTCTCTCTGTCTCTGTCTGTCTGTCTCTCTCCTCTCTCTCTCTCTCTCTCTCCCTCTCCCTCTCCCTCTCTCTCTCTCTCTCTCTCTCTCTCTCTCTCTCTCTCTCTCTCTCTCTCTCTCTCTCTCTCTCTCTCTCTCTCTTTGCCATTTTTCCTCTCTCCTGCTGCTCCTGTCCGGAGTTGGACATGCTGTACTGAGAAAAGATAAAAACCACATGGTAGAATGTAGATTAACAGAAGCAGCTTAATTTGCATAATAAGAGGTAGTTAGAAAAAAGCCTATGCTAAGGCCAAGCTTTCATAATTACTAAGTCTCCGTGTTGTTATTTGCAGGCTGGTGGTCCAAAAAAGTCCAGTGAGAAAGCTTGATACACAGTATTTCTGCCAGTTCCAGGCAGAGCTGGCAAAGGATATCTCACCACCGTACCCTAAGCTGCTATTTGTCCACAACAAAGACTATGTGAAGCTTACACATCCATGTTCATGTTGTATGTGTGAACATGACTTCTTGTGATATTCACACAAAGTGTCAACAAAAATCCAGAGTTAAATTATTTACCTGTAATTATAGGCATAAAGACTAAGACGATTTTATGGCTGAATCAACCCCTCTACAAACACAAAAAAGAACTTACAGCATTTAATGTGAAAAGCTCTGATATATAAGTGATACATAAATGCAGAGTTTGAAAACATAAATAGGGAGCAAAATACAGGAGAAATTTATCTGCCCTTGAAATTGCTAATTGTTATATAACAATAATATTTTAATTCACAGGTAAGGCTGACACAAAGTGAACATTCCTGCATTTCCATTGCTAAATGAAGTTTTAAAGCTATAAACTTCTGAGATGGTGTTTTCAAACCATAATGCCCCTGTTATAAATTCTTTTAAAACCTAGTGCCCATGCTTTGACACTGGAGACAAATCAGATATTTTCAGAAGTGAAACTTAAATGTATTTCAAACTAATTAATAAAACTTTAGACATCTGGGTAACGTGATAAACAACAACAACAAAAAATCTCCCCAGTAGAGAAAGCAGTCTGGTTACATATATTAAAATATTTGAGTCACTAGATTTCTGCTTTGCAGAAATACAATATTAAAACCTACATGGCAGGAAAAATTAATTACCTTAGTACAATCACCAAAGGGAATTCCTTTTGTTATGATAAGTTGCTTTTAGTTTGAATTAGTTTTGAATTAACCCAATTACACATCACCATTCAAGTGTGATATTAAATTTAGAAAGTTAAACTGTGTGAAAACACTTTTATAAGAAAATGTTGGTTACAATAAAAGATGTAAAAATGTTCATGTTGGAAAATATTATTTATGTGTTAAATTATTTAAATCAATATTAAAATTGATTTTAAAATTCTGTTATTAATAGGGTTTGTCAATAATTCAGAATGTTATAACAGTAAAGTAATTATAGTTAACATGTGATTTCTTCAGATGTTCTTGTGTGTTTATGCCAGTATGCCTGTTCTTTGTGTGTTCTCTGGGTGTGTCTGTGTGTGCATGTATATATGTCCATACAAATGAAAATCCCAAGTCAACCCCAGCTGTCAGTCCTAAGGAGGCTTAGGAATGCTCCACATTTAATTAATTTATCTATTTATTCCTCTGACCAGTGAATCCCAGGTATCTTCTAATTTCTGTAAACTTGGCATTGGGATTTCAAGGGGACACTGACACATTTGTGATTATGGGGATCAAAGTCTGGTGCTCACATATCAAAGGAAAGCACTATAATGACCGAGCTACCTTACCTGTGTCTCCTTATAATTTCCCTGACAAGATACTTGAATTTTACATTTTTCCCCCTAATTTCACATTGTGATATAATGGTGGATGATAGGTAAAGAAAAGTTTGAAATATATTTGTTAAGTAAACATAATAGTCTTGCAAAGGATAAAAATGATGATATTTCTTACTAAAAAAATGCAATTCTCTCTTCAACCCGCCTAAATGCAGATATATAGCTAGCTTCAGGTCTATACTATTTATAAAAAGAGAAGAAACAAATTAAATGAGAATTGCATTTTTAAATGAGATAAAACATGAATAAAAGTTATGTTTAGTATCTTAGAGTATTTTAAAACAATAGTCTTATAAAATGGTGTGAGATACTACTGTATTTTCCTTCTAATTAAACTGGACATGAAGCATCCTGTCATGGTGAAGCCACTGAACATAATCACATCCATCCTATGACATGATGCTCTTGCTTTGCTCAGCAAATAATACTTAACTTTCCCATTTCTAATTATATCTCCTTTTAGTAAATTGAAGACAACACATTTAACAACACTTAAAATAGAACTTGGTTTAGCATTGATACCTAATGAGCCTGGAAGGCTCCACTTGGCACAGTTTTAACAGGATAGAACTTTGTAAGTTGAAATTATTATTTTGATAAAATAACAAAGAAACTTTTCTTGGAGCACATATGTTAATTTGTCTTATTACAGTTTGGGTATTTAATAACTATGAATTTAATTGAAATATTTTAGTGTACTGAAAATTAATTGTTATATAATTAAAAAAGATCTTTATTAATACTCTCAGGTCTCCCACTTATAATTCTATATACAATTAATACTAAAAACTATTAAAATAAATTATCCTATAGAAGCAAAGGGACTGCATGCTGCAGCATTTTGTCTCCTGAGCTCTGGTTTGGTGGTATATAAATGCTTATCTTTAATTATATGAAAAATATGCTTCTGTAGGAAAAGAATTTTTTCTCAATATTAAAATTGAAAATATCTCAGGAATAATTCATTAAAATCTCTAAAGCAGTGCTGTATCTGAATCTAATATGAATCTTTAGTGTCTGCCCTCAATTTGTTTGCATTTTCTACGTATGTTTTTACTAAATCATCAATCTACTTAAATAATGAAAAATGTACTAAGAACAAACAATTGTGACACAGAGTACAAAATAAATACGTTGTCTAAATTCAGCACTAAATATATATATATACATATGCATATGTATATATATTATGAAATACTTAAGAAAATTAGCAAGCATTAATATATTTAGTATTATTTAACACTTTTCATTTCTATGAGAGCTTTTGAAATCTCATCTGTTAAGGATTCTGAAGTCTACAATATTATTGTCTACAATATTTACAATGAAGTGTTTGGGCTGCTCAAAGAAAAATGAACGATTCTTACCTGAGCATTTGAGGTCTTTGATCAGCAACCCCACATCCCCCACCTGAGCCTCCGTAGCCACAATTCTTTTACCTGCTTCTCTCCTAGAAGAAATGCGTGTTTATGCTACACTGAGTGAAAATGGCTTCCATAGGCTAGTGCATTCGAGTGCTTAGTCACCAGAGAGTGGAAACTGTGTGAAAGGATTAGGACAAGTGGCCCTTATTGGAGGAAGTGTGACCTTGGGAATGGGCGTTGGGGTTTTAAAAAGCCAGTGTCAGGCCCGAGCATCTTTCTCTCTCTTTTTCTTTCAGCAGTATCTCCACCATCATGCCTACCTCCCATCGTGCCCCATGATGATAATGGAATGAATCTCTAAAACTATAAGCAAGCCCACATTTAAATTCTATCCTTTGTGAGAGTTGCCTTGGCCATGGTGTCTCTTCTCAGCAACAGAACAGAGACTAAGACAATGTTGTTTGTCATTGTATTACATTCTTATGCAAATGACAAATTCACATTATTTTAAAAGTGAAGATTATCCTATTGTATGCACATAAAACCTTTCCTTGTGCATATTTCTTGTTTTGCGGAATAATTCATGTGTAACTTTTTTTTGACATCATAGTATGCCTATGTGAATTGCACTAGAGGGAAGGGTTAAGTGCAGCAGTATTGTCACATTGCTATCAAGTCATTCAGGTAAATACCCCAATTTAGGATGCTAAATAGCAGCATCCTAAATTGGTATGTTATTTCCCTCTGCAGATTTTTCTGAAGCCCCCACAAATTTTCCACAGTGACTGTATTGATGCATTTTTTTTCAATAGCAAAGGACAAGGATACCTTTGATTCTAAGTTCTTCCTTTTATTTTATTTCTTTTTAATAGCCATTCTGACTGATGGGCAGTGATATCACATGGTGCTCTAATTTGTACTTAAATAATGATTAGTAGGCTGGGCACTGGTAGCACACACCTTTAATCCCAGCACTGGGGCGGGGGGGGGGGTGGTGCAGAGGCAGGCTGATCTCTGTGAGTTTGAGACCAGCCTGGTCTACCGAGCGAGTTCTAGAACAGCCTCCGAAACAATACGGAGAAACCCTGCCTCGAACAAAAAAAAAATGGTTAGTGATGTTGAATATTTTTAATATTTCCTTTGGCTGTTCCTGTATCTTCTGTCAACTATGCTCAATAAAGTTTCTTGTCCATAAAATTTAAGTCAGATTTTGAGTGTTTTCGATTATAGGTGTTTTACTTTCTTCTGTTTTTAATATTAGCCATTTTGTGACATCTAATAGTATTTTCTTTTCATCCACCAGTTTCCTTTTTACCCTTACTTATTTCTTTGGACGATCAGAAGCCTTTTGGTTTGACATAAGGTAATTATACCATTTTTGTAAGTTTTGAAGCATGAATAAAAACGGGAAAGAGAGAAAGGAAGCCCATTGAGCACATTAATGTTGTGTAGATTTTACCCCTAATTTTTTGCCTTCTATGATTTTATTTATGAGAAATGAGCAAACTTAAGTGTTCCTCAACTTTTAGACCTCAAAATATTTGTGCATTTACATTAATTCGACATTATTTTTATTTTTTCTTTTGTTGAAAGTGAAGTTTTCCCTACAATACACTGTTACTCCAGTTACTCCTCCCCGAA